AAGGTCATGTGACTGGAAGCACAGGTCTCACCTGTTTCATGTTTCTGTCTTCAGTGTCCCAGCATGCCTCAGGGGTGGAGGTGTACGAGGGGGAGGAGTCTGTCCTGCTGCCCTGTCAGGTATCAGCTGATGTTTCCAGTAGCTCCACAGCAGCAGTGTGGGACCGTGATGGGTTCAAGAACCCAACGGTTCACCTGCGTAGTCAGAGTGGTGACGATCTTAGTGGTCAGAATGAACTTTACCAACATCGAACATCAATGAGAGCCGACGCTCTGCAGACTGGAGACCTTAGCCTCACTCTGAGGAAGCCCACAGTCTCTGACAGTGGAACCTACACCTGCAGTGCTGTCAGCTATGGAGACAGGTTGAGGCAGATTGAAGTACATCTGAAGGTCACAGGTGAGTGGACAGAAGTCAGATTAATGTGAGTTCATACAAACATGTTGATGATGTTCATGTCTCGTGTGTTTGTGTTACAGAACCTCCTCCAGTCTGGCACATAGTCCTCCCAGCTGTGCTGGGTACTCTGATCATCCTGGCTGCTGCCTTTGGTCTGTTTGTGTGCTGTGCATACAAAAGGATGAAGGACAGCGAAGGTGTGTGTGTGTGTTTTATAATGTGTGTGTGTGCGTTTCCACAGAGCAGACCAGGAAGTGGAAGCAGCAGCCATCACCTTCACCTTCAGTCACACATTCAGTCATTCAGTTGTTGTGTTCATCTTCTCAGTAACAATAATGAATCCTGTCTCGATGCTCAATCATTCAGGTAAGTATCTCCCAAACACTGCTGGACTCTGTGGCCTCCTTTCATCTTTCTCACAGCTGAAAATGTGCTGAGGAACTTTCCTCTGTGTATTCGAACACTTTGGTAGCAGAGCCTTGAACTCACACCGATGGAGCACATTAGAGGCTTCACCCACATCCTGGAGGTTTAACACACAGCTGCTCTTGTAGATCTGAACTGATTGTCTGATAGCGATGTCCTGAGGTCACATGACTAATGTGACTTTTCCAGGATCAGCTGGTCTGAGCAGCTTCAGTGATTCAGGGTCCTTAGATGGAAGAGCAGATCCTCTGCCACCAATCACAGACCTGTTTCAGCACTTACTGCTGTACTCTGGGGAATCAGTCCAGAAGTGTTTGTTACATAGTAGCAACAAATATTATTTTTCACTTAGTAGCAGCTCATTGCAGCTTAAATGGGGATCAAGATGGCGCCGGTGTCCATGGCTGCTCGTCTGTGGCTTATAGTTTTGTTTGTTTTTATATTGTTCCTGTCATGTGACACTCAGGAAATCTGCTCTCTACTGGTGTGATCGCCAGTCGCTTCTAAATCTCTGAAGTTCTGATCAAAACACAGTTCTGTTTGCTAACGGAGGTCAGAGTTCCTGGTGCCCGCTGCTGTCACATATCCCGACCGGCCATGCTGTCATGCTACCTCCCCAGCAAAGGCGTTGGGGTAGGCGCAGTGGCTGGCTGGTTAAACTCAAGCTCCCCTTGGTGCAGCATCTCACTACAGTCAGAGGAATACAGAGATTATTTCCTGGAGTTTTTGTGCACCGACGTTTCCTGGACCCCGTGGGTTCCTGCCTCATCCCTGTGGTCGGCCAGGATGACGCACCGCTCCTCCGTGACCCCTGTCCTCCTCGGCTGTGTGCGCCGGGTGAACCTGGACAATCTGAGGCTGCTGTGTCAGACTCCCTGTGCTGCTGGGGCTCATACCTCTGCCTCAGCTCCTGTGAGGATCGGGCTGGTAAACGACAGATCGCTGGTGAACAAATCTTTTATTCTGAAGGAGTTATTCACCTCCTGGAAACTGGACTTCATGTGTGTCACTGGGACTTGGCTTAACTGGTGAGTCCAGTATTTTATCTGAACTATTACCAGCAGGTTGTTCCTATTTTAACACACCAAGGACATCAGGGAGAGGAGGCGGTACGGCTGTTTTTAAAAGGATTTTAAATGTAAACAGTGTGTTTTACAGCCCTCGTCTTCCAGCTTTGAGCTCACGTGTTTTGAAGTCAGTCGCTCTAACTCTGTGCTGTTATTTATTGTCCCCTTAAATACAATAAGAACTTCATAAATGACTTTTCAGGATTCCTAGCTGGGCCTATGCCCAACTACGATCATCTTCTTATTGTGGGAGATTTTAATATCCATGTCTGCTGTCCTGTGAAAGAGTTTTTAAGCCTGTACCTGGCCCCCTACATGATCACGGACACACACTAGACCTTGTCACACAGTCTGCCTGTGTCTAACGTGGAAGTGTCTGACGCTGCCTTCTGGCTGTATTATTTGATGCTGTGTTTTCACACACTGCAGTTCAAACCAGCGCTGCTGTTCGCCGCTGTCGGATTTGATTTCAATCTTCTTGCCAAACTATCCTGGACTCTGTGTTTTAAATTGCCCCACCCTGACCCTGACCACCCCCAGGTTTCTCAGGTCAGCTGATTAGCTGCTCCTGGAGGTACAAATTTCCCACATGTGGGACTAATAGAGGTTATCTTATCTTCAGCTCAGAGGGGGCGGGGCCTTCTCCGTTGCTGCTCCTAATCTCTGGAACAATCAGCACATTAGAGACGCCGCTTCATTGTCCACTTTTAAAACACATCTTCTCATTTTACTGCTTCAATTTAATCTAATGTGCTGATTTTGTTGTTTCCATTTAATTTTACCTCTTTTTTTATTTATGTATTGTTTTCTTCTTTCTTTTTGGGCACGGTGGTTAGCACTGTTGCCTCACAGCAAGAAGGTCCCGAGTTCAACTCCACCATCAGGTCTTTCTGTGTCTGTGTGGGTTCTCCCCGTGTCCTCCGGCTTCCTCCCACAGTCCACAGACATGCAGTTTGTGGAGATTCATTGAAAAAATCTAAATTGCCCATAGTTGTGAATCTGTGAGTGAATGTGAGCGTGAATGGCTGCCTGTCTGTGTCTGTTAGCCCTGCGACAGACTGGCGACCTGTCCGGGGTGTACCCCGCCTCTCGCCCTATGACAGCTGGGATAGGCTCCAGCAGCCCTGTGACCCTGAAAAGGAGAAGTGGAAGCGAATGGATGGATGTTTTCTGTTTGTCATGTCAGAACTTTGTTTGCAGCTGGGAGTTGTCTGACAGCGCTTCATGAATTGATTACTTACAGTGTGACTGGTTTTAACTAATATCTGCTGGAATCTCTGCAGACCATCAGTAGCAGCCTGAAGCAGCAGAATTAGAAGAAGTCTCCTTCATGTCTCTAAAGAAGTGCTGACACATTACAACATACTGCAGCACTAATTCATGCACAACTTTCACAGATTAAATAAAAGCTTGTTATAATTCAAAGTTACTGCCTGTATGTTTGACATAGGAAAGCAGCTGTTTGTGCAGCCTCACACATCAACACAACAGTTCAGCTCCAAGTCAGAGAAACACTGAGAACAGCTGGTTACAGAGCAGAGGACAGGATGGAGGATCCACCTCACTCATGTCTGTCTGTCTGTGTTCATGTTCTCCTCTCAGCTCTGCTGCCAGAGGTGGTGGAGGTGCTACAGGGGGAGAAGTCTGTCCTGCTGCCCTTTAAGACCACAGCTGACCTTCCTCAGCACGTCACAGTGGAGTGGACAGACTCCAATGCCATGAAGGTCCACGTGTATGAGAGTGGAAACAATCAGCCAGACAAACAGCACCAGAGTTACAGAGGTCGCACAGAGATGAAGGAGGATCCACTGAGAAACAAAGACCTCAGTCTGACCCTGAAACCCCTCCACCTCACTGACAGTGGAGTCTACACCTGCATCGTCTACAAGAAGGATGGACACATGCTGCAGAAATCAGTGACTCTCAGTGTCAGTGGTGAGTGTAACAGCTGTTTGTCCACAGTGTGAATCCAGCATGAATAAGATCCAACCAGACAGATTCTTGGGTGCTGTTCTTTATTTTAATTGTTTTTAAGATAACCAAATGTCTGGATATGACGGTCTTTGTATCATCATCTTTTTGCTACCACACATAGTTGTAACCCCCATTACTGGTTTCATTCTCAAATGCTGTTTTTCAGAATATGTCCAGAGAGCTTGTATTGCTTTGTTTTCAGTTCGACAGTAATAGGTCCAGCAAAGCTTTGGCAGGAGAACATGCAAAGACATGATTGGTTAGCATTTGTAGCATAGAAACCATCACAGATAGTGCTGAATTTCTCTGTGTTTTTTTCTCAGCAGTGCACACAGTGGGAATATTTAGTCTCATCATCATGGAACAGTAACAGTGAGCTTTTTTATCTGTCTGTGTTCTTCTGTTCTCTCTCAGTTCCTCCGCCACAGGTGGTGAATGCAACAGATGCAGACGAGTCTGTCCTGCTGCCCTTTACAACCAAGGCCGACCTTCCTCAGCACGTCACAGTGGAGTGGACACTCACTGAACCCACAGAGAGGAAGGTCCACGTGTATGAGAGTGAAAACAATCAGTCACACAACCAAGACCAGGATTACAGAGATCGCACAGAGATGAAGGAAGACCCACTGGGAACCAAAGACCTCAGTCTGACCCTGAAAGACCTCCACCTCACTAACAGTGGAGTCTACACCTGCACCGTCTACAACAAGGATGGACACATGCTGCTACAGAAAGCAGTGACTCTCAGAGTCAGAGGTGAGTGTAACAGCTGTTTGTACACAGTGTGAATCCCTGCATGTGTAAACCTGTGAGTGTGTCCAGCTGTTTGTGCAGCCTCACACATCAACACACAACACTGAGAACAGGAGCTGCTGGTTACACAGCAGAGGACAGGATGGACCATCAACTTCACTGATGTCTGTCTGTCTCTTTACAGAGAGTGTGCCAGACATTGTGCAGGTGCGACAAGGAAAGAAGTCTGTCCAGCTGCCCTTAAAAACCACAGCTGTCCTTCCTCAGGACGTCACAGTGGAGTGGACAGACTCCAATAACAAGAAGGTCCACGTGTATGAGAGTGGAAACAATCAGCCAGATGAACAGGACCAGGTTTACAAAGGTCACACAAAGATGAATGAAGATCCACTGAGAACTGGAAACCTCAGTCTGACCCTGAAAGACCGCCACCTCATTGACAGTGGAGTCTACACCTGCACCGTCAAGAAGAAGGATGGAGACAAGCTGCTGCAGAAATCAGTGACTCTCCATGTCTATGGTGAGTGAAACAGCTGTTTGTGTGAATCCAGCATGAATCAGTGAAATCCAAGAGCAGCTGATGGATCTGTGATAAAATAATGTTTCTTATGAGACACAAAAGTGCTGGAAATGAATTTAATAACTGAAAGTGTAATGAGGTATTTTGTGTTTTCTGTCATATACAAGCTGAGTGTAGAGCTCTCCATCATCATCATCATCATCACTCTGAGCTGTTAATAAGAGCCTCCTGACATTCACTGATCAGTACAGATGAATATATTTGCTGGCACAGCTACTCCTCAGGGTTCTGCTGATTGGTCGACTTCTTTAACGAGACTTTTTGGTAAATAAGGAACAGAGTGCTTCATCTTCTATATATATTTGATCATAAACTAACGTTGTTTAAAATAACAATTAAGACTTCGATTATCTAAATGTGTTCTGGTAAATCAAAGCTGACAGCTAGTGCAGCAGAATCAGAAAGACTTTATTTATCCCCTACAACTAGAGCTGGGCGATAGAACGATAACGATATGTATCGCGATATAACTTTTACTCGATAGAGAAATTAAGCTATCGCGATAGACCTCGCCGCTCTTGTCCTCTTAAAAAAAAAAAAAAAAAAAAAAAAGGTCAGCCAATCCAAATTAAGTAGCGCAGAGCCGAACCAATCACAGCCGCAGCGTCACGTCGCGTGACTTGTTACGTACAGCACAAGTGCCAAGCCGCACGTGTGTTTGTTTGGGAAGCAGCCAGCGGGTAATGGAGCCAGCGCGTAATGGAGGAAATGAGTGTGCCGACTAGAAAAATCAACCGAGCGTGACCGAAGAGAAAACAGATGATGGTTCCAATGCCGGAGAGATTGTCGAACGGAAGAGCCATAGAAGTTCCGTAGTGTGAAGGTATTTCGGCTATTTCAAGTCTGACAAAAAACAGAGTAGCGTGCACTGTAAATTGTGCCGAAAGCAAGTCTGGAAATACAATAAACTGGTGCATGCGTCACACTGTGCGCCACGTTATTGTTTCGGTGAAATGAATTTCTACAATACTGTTACTGTTAATTCTACTCTCTGCAGTGTTTAAATGCTTACATATACACACAGTTACTGTCCGTCCACACATACGACTCGGTTCTGCTTCTATGCCCCAGCTTTGTTTACTTTTTCCCACCGAGGCTTCTAGACTTCTGATTGGCCAACATTTCTGCACGGTTAGGAATCTAGCGCCACCTGCTGCTTTGGCATGTTCATAGCAGCGTTTTCCTTCATTTCTGCCTTTATGTGTGGACGGGATTATTTTTTAAAACGAAAACGGAAAATCTCCGTTTTCAAAAATACCCGTGTACGTGTGGACGTAGCCTCAGTCTCTGACTGGAAGCGCTAATTCGTCATTCGGCTTTTGTCAGACTAAAGTAACTGTTAAAACTGTTTGAAAAGCTAAGCTATACAACAAGGAGAGATTGAGAATTTCCTTTTAGTTCTCAGTTTATTTGATATTGACAAAAGTTAGTCAGTTTTGTCTGTTCTTCTGTAAAACAAACTAAGATTTATTTTTAGAATTAATATTTTGTTTCTAAGTGGAATTGACAATTTAGTCTGTTTCGTTTGTTCTATTTTGAAACTTAAACGCTTTAGCGGCTGCCTTTTGTGTAGTTTGCAATATTTGCCTTTATTTATCTGAAAAAGTCTCATGTTCCTTAAGTACATCTACCCTGTTGAACTTATTATGGGAAATAAATATTTAAATCAAAACAAGCTGCTGATTATTTCACATTTTACTTGTGAGCAACGGCACATTTAAATCTTACAAATATAGTTATTTGGCTTATATCGTGATAGATATCGTTATCGCCTGAAATGAAAAAAACATATCGTGATATTAAAAAATCTTATATCGCCCAGCTCTACCTACAACAGAGCAGGATGACGTTGAAGATATGGACAGGGCATGAACAGGCAGCAAGCATGAGCTAACAAATACACACTGTTTTAAAATTAAAATGAGTGAAAGGTTAATAAATAACGATGTTGGGATAAATACAGACTTCCTGATGATGGAGAAGCACAAACAGAGTAAAGATGTTTAAAGGGTTCAGTGTGAAGACTGTGATCCAGGTCTGAAGGAGATCCACGCCAGCGTCCGATAAACCTGTCGCTCACTCAGGACTAAAGTCTTTTTTTGTTCTGACATCACTTCCTGTGCTGCAAGTCCAGCCTCCAAACCTCTGATCACATCTGAAGTCTTCTGAACAGCAGTTGGTTTCTCTGAGGTTAATGACACACATATAACAGTGACAGTCAGCATCAGCCCACAGTGAAGCTTCAGGTGACTCCAGGCTGCCAGCATAGCTGACACACTGACAGCTGCTTAGTTTCACCAGTACTGATAACATCAGAGCTTATAAATACTCTAAATATTACTCCAGTACCATCCCAACTCATCAGACTGTACACAAAGGATCGTCTCTGTGTTCTCTGTTTGATGGAAACAGTCAGCTGTGAGTGTGTCCAGCTGTGTGAGAATAAAAGCTGCACAGCTGTTTGTGCAGAGGCCATGATCACCCACTCACATCTGTCTGATCTCTTTTTAGAGAGTCTGCCTCACATGGTGGACGTGCCACAGGGGGAGGAGTCTGTGCTGCTGCCTTTAAGACCAAAGCTGACCTTGGTCCAGTTTGTCACTCTGGAGTGGACTCTCACTGGTGTCTGTCTGTCTCTTTTCTCTTTTCAGACACTGTGAGGAGGTTGGGGACAGTGTATGGAAACAAGTCTTATTTGCTAGAATTTCAAAAAACAGATAAACTTGATCAGATTTCCAAAGTGGAGTGGAAACATATACACCCCAAATACAAGTCCATAAAGGAAATAACACGCCATCAGGGAAATGAGAAAGACCTCAGTCTGAACCTGGAAGACCTCCACCTCACTGACAGTGGAATCTACACCTGCACCGCCTACAACAAGGATGGAGCCATCCTGCTAAGGCAATCAGTGATATTTGGTGTCAGAGGTGAGTGTATCAGCTGTTTGTCCACACCGCGAATCCCAGCTGTGTAAACTGCGAGTGTCCAGCTGTTTGCAGCTGTGTGAGAATAAAAGCTGCACAGGTGTTTGTGTGATTGAAATGCACTGAGTGTGATGCAATACGGCAGCTATTATAGTGGTTAGTTATGGCATGGAGATTCATGGAGCATGCTGTGAACTTGGCTAACATTACTTAGCAGCAATATGAGTTACTTTACTCAAGTGAAAGCTTTAAACATTAGCCTGATACGTAGCATTGTGACAGACCCAGAGTCTCCATTTCAACTTTTGTCCAAAGTACTGACTTCAAACTATACACCAGTTTTTAAATTGTGTTGATAGGTCACGTAAAACCAGAGTCATGATCAAAAGTACACGCGATATATTTTTCCTAAATAAAACAGAGGCCTTTACTACGGGAAGAGAAGAAGGACAGCGCTAGCAAACACTCCGCTTGTGAGCAAAAAAGGAAAAAAACACCTGTTTGTGTCAAACAATCAAAAATATAAATGGAAACGTGACATTTGGTTGTTTAGGAAAAGGGGAAGTTGTAGGAGTGAGCAAGTGAAAGAAAGAAAGGGAGAAAGTGAGTTTTCACAGGTGAGAGATTTGTGTTGTCTTGGTGTAGTTAGTGTGTGGTGTTGTCGTTGTTTTGTGTGTCAGTTCTACTAGTGAACGTCACAGTTGCTGCAAAAAAGCCACCAGAGGCAGATTGCAGTGTAAACACTGTCTCCAGGTGGAAAAGCGATACACCTGCTGCTGTCATACCTGCAGGGTTCGTCCCTGTGCTGGGTGGAATAATGGTAATATGAGGGATCCATATGGGCACAAAGAATAGTCACGTGTTTTTGTTCTACCGACGTTCCCTGACTTTCATTCAAAAGCTGTGTCTGGTCAGCACCGACACATTAAACTGCTTACACATCATAAATGGCTTCAAGCTCACACTGAGGCCTGTGGGGCACCATCAGCCACGGACACCGTATATGGATATTTCATACATTAAGGCTGCCTGTTTATTTAAGGGAGATGAACAATACATTATAACTGTACCAAATAATGTCACTGATGATAGATTAAATAAGTAGATTTTAGGAAATGCACTGGGAAAACTTGAAAATGGACCTTGAAAGTGCTTGAATTTGACCCTGAAAAAGGTGTACGAACCGTGACTGAAACACTGAATGCTGCTGGTTACACAGCAGAGGACATGATGGACCATCAACCTCACTCATGTCTGTCTGTGTTCATGTTCTGCTCTCAGACTTCCAGGTGGAAGTGGTGGAGGTGACAGAGGGGGAGGAGTCTGTCCTGCTGCCCTTTAAAACCACAGCTGACCTTCATCATGTTGTCAGCGTGTACTGGACTGTCTCTGAACCCACAGAGAAGATTGTCTATTGCCTTGATGTGTATAAAAACAATCAGCAAGGTGTACAGGACGAGTCTTACAGAGGTCGCACAGAGATGAATGAAGATCCACTGATCACTGGAGACCTCAGTCTGACCCTGAAAAAGCCCCTCCCCACTGACAGTCATAGCTACACCTGCACGGTCTGCAACAAGGATGGACGCACCCTGGTACAGAAAGTCGTGATTCTCAGAGTCAGAGGTGAGTGTAACAGTGCAGTTAATGTTGAAGAAATGATGTAAAAAGATTGACAAGAAGTTTACACTATAAGAAAGAAAGTGATGGGTGCCGTAGTGTCACATAAAGATCTGAACACACGTTTAGCTGCACCATCCCTCCTGTAGTGGAACTACTCTGTGAAATATTTAAGGTGTCTAGTTTCAGTAACAGCAGAATTATCTTCACATGATGTCTGCAACCACAGACAGCTGACTGTGTTCATCTGGATGTTATTAATGGAAGTGTTAGGGTGACTTCTTCAGTCCCAGAAGGCTGAATCCTGGATGATTGAACCTGCTTCAAGGTTAAATCCACATTCATTCACTGAGTTAAAGAGAAATGAAAATAATCA